AGCTCTTCGCAACTAAGAAATTCTAATTATCGGAGTCGCAAGCAAAAACGTAGCTGAATACTTTATTATTTTATTCTACAGTTTAAAGGAGAATTACAACATTTCTTTAAGTTCTATTAATTTGCGTTCTTCTACTTATTAAAAATCAATAAGATTGTTGAAATTGTGTCAGATCAAAAACGAGCTCGGAAGTTCTCTTGCGAACGATCATCGTTACGATGTGACAACTTTGTCAAAGTGGCGTAAGATCGAAATTGAAAATAAATCCTGAGCTTTGAATTACGACATTTTAGAAGGCAATGGAATAATGGTCGGCGCGTAATAAAACATCAATGTCAACAAAATATAATTTCACGCTTGAGAAAAGTATTAAAGCATAACCTTAGGTTTATCATTTCTTTGGCCGTAGCATAACCGTCGCCGCGGAGGTAGCTAAAAATAACCGGAATACTCGAAGTTATGGGGTATTAAACGTGGCTGACCCTTGGACCGCAAACTAACCGCGACTTAATTAATAATTATTCGGTTCGGAGGCTTTCATTTCTGTAATAGCAGCGACGAACAAAAGATAGCTCGTGCTCGGCGGCCATTTTATTATCACCAGGGGCTAGTTATTGCCGCCTAATCAGCTTCGCAGCGCTTGCCGGAGATATCGCAAATGATCGACGACGCCGTAACTATTGATTAAAGCTGTAAAAACGGATTCTGCCGGTTCGCAAATCGTTACGGATAATAATTCTGATGCTTTCACAGTAACATCGTCATTAGACGGCTCGCTGCTATCGGCTTCTTTATTGCTGAATCGTGGCACTCTTAACACACCATGAACTATCTTAATTTAATACTTATTGTTACGTCCTGCAATTTCTACGGTGCTATGGTGCCAAGGCGTTCCGAACTTCGTTAGTGTCCGGATCGATTCGCTTTGTTCTCAGGCGTTGCGTTTTAACATTTCATGAGAACCCGCCATTTATTTGGCGGTTGAAAAATTACTGTCAATAATTAATAGGCCGCGGTACTTTGTGCATTTATCGCGTGCGCAAATTTATGAAACACTAGAAAGCATTTATATGTTCTCCTTCGTACTGTCAGTGTAAAAAGTATTCGTACGCTTTTTGAAACGAAATAACTTATTTATGATTGGTCTATAATTAAGTTTACTAGACAATGGCTAAAAAATTGTTTTAGATGGCCATTAGTTGGGATAATAAAACGAATTGCAATTTAAAAAGATTTTTGTATACTTATTTTTTAGAAAACTGGTCGGTCTAATCACTTCTGTCAAAAATGCATCAAATTTTTGGAAACTGTTTCTTCGTCAACTAAGATATTCCTCACTGTAAAATTAAAATGGAAACGCTATTAGACCCCGTTAATTCATACATTTTCATACCAAGGAAAAAACCTGCACATGCTGCAAATACATAAGGATTCACAGTCTGCTGTATTAGGTTTCCAGTGGTCGTCCCTATTTTTCCGCGCACCGTGTATATTATAATTAGGTAAAAGCGGAATACGTTGAAGAGACTAGGAAAGGAAATGTCGCGTATTTTCTCCTGGTCGAAGACGGATCGCTCTTTGCATCAAGGCAGAGAGTGGAGAAAAGAGGGAAAGAGAGAAAAAAAGGGAGGGAGAGAGTATCATCACTCAGAGGCAATTTGAATGATTCATGAGTGCACACGTCACGGATTCGCGAAAAAGAATCGGTTTTCCATTTACAGCGATAGACCCGCGATTTTCATGTAGAGCTTGTCAATGATTCTCCGGTGCTCGTTGTAAACCTGTAGCCACGCGGTGAAGGGGAGAGAGCAGTTTCGCTCGAAGGGATGCCTTCATGATTTATGGAAGATGCGTCAGGTACTACCTACCGCGTCGGAATTATTGGTGAGGCCCTGATACGTCTTCGTCGTAGTTGTCCTCCTGATTGTAAGACGGTAGTATCTCGCCACGTCAAATACTCTGCCCGGTCATTTGTCCGTTTGTGATCTGGATGCTGCGCTAATGCACCATCCGTGATCATTTTCACGCGTGTCTCGAGATATTTTTATTCGGTCGCTTCAACATCACTGGTACATCGCGCGTTTAATAACTTGCACCATGATTTTTTTCTTTCCTAATTGCGTTGATTGTTAGAATCTGTACATTGGAAATTCCATAAGAAGTTCCATAAAATAATGTAATTATTTGTAAATCTTAATATATTATTATAATATAATGTAATATTCATATTATAATATAATATTATTATTTATTATTTGAACTTTATTTATAATCTTAGTCTAAAACATTTATAATCAACATTCTAATAAAAGTTTTAATAGTTATAATTGTATTAATCTAATTCAATAGAAGAATTAGATAGTATAATGCTTGGTAATCCAACTAATGTAAATCTTAAAGATCAAATAATTGGTGGATTTAAATAAATTTTTGATCCGTAATGTGTAACTAATCATCTGAATACTTTAATTCCCGTTGGAACTGCAATGATTATTGTTGCCGACGTAAAATAAGCACCATATAACCCAACATCTAATCCACTAATATCAAATAAATTATTCTTAAATTTTTAACAATTTCTTTTTTACCTCTTTCATTCAAAATGATATGAAAAATGAATTTATATTTGTTTTATTTATTAATCCATATGAATAACAATAATTAATGCAAAGTACCACAAATAATGAATATTGTTCTGTGGAGGTTTTTATGAAACTTCCTATAATCTTAATTCAAAGCATTTATGATCAACATTCTAACATACAGGGGCGGACAAATGTATCCGGATACTCCTTAAAACGTAATAACAAATTACAAGTGAATTTAATATCTCATTAGATGATTACTCGAATATCTCAAGTAATAATTAAATGTCTTGTTTCATTAAAAAATCGTTCAATTAAAAAGCATGAAAATGTATCTCACATCTTTAAAGTTCTAGATTGTAATTTGAAGAACTATGTTTGAATTGCATTCAATTACATTATATTTCAATTACATTACATTTTAATTACATTACATTTCAATTACATTATATTTCAATTACATTGTATTTCAATTACGTTATATTTCTATTGCATTATATTTTAATTATATTATATTTCAATGACATATTTCAATTACACAAATGAAAGATTTGAATATTACAATGTAATTAAATTACTTAATTGATTTAGCACGACTCTGAGTTCATAAATAGTAGAACGAAAGCGACATGGTTTAATTCGTGGTGTTTATGAAACATTTAATCTAGCTTAATATTTATATGGTTTATATTATGAAAATAACGTAATTACATATAATCTGAATAGTATTCAATATTCATGGAATACGAATATAATGTAAAGTCGTAAAAATAATATAAAAAGTAGATATTTTCTGTATCAAATATTAAATATAGTTAAACATTTTTCATATGCCTTCTGCCCACGAGTGTGACTTATGAACAGTTCCTTGAAACGCGATTTTACGGTATATTCTGACGTACACCGTACCGATAGAGAGTTTTACTAGCTTTTAATGATTTATGCGTGGCAGTTTCCTCTGGCCAGTCTCGAGAGTGTACGGTCCAGAACTCTATAGAGTTTGCCCGTGGGCTATTTGAGAGTTTCTGTATCTTTAGTGAATCTTTCCTTCAAAATACAGTCGTCTCGATCCCGTCGACTAACAACACGGGCAACATAGGTTTCTGGTCGCAGGAACTGCTTAATTTCTGACCGTCGAAAAAGTGGAAGTGATTGTGAATTTACGACTCTTTTTATCTTTTAATGTGATTGAATAGCCTAGCCTGACCACTTTATTTCTTTGTTTCTTTTTACGACTTCTTTTCTCGAGTCGATAAGGTCTTGTTCCCGAGTCAATCAGAATGCAGTAAAATTAAAAGTAGGACGACTTTATGTTATTTACTGAATGGGCTTCGTTTGTCTTAAAGATCGTAGGCGATTTTTTAAGTCGACGATGATTGGACTGCGAATTTTACGCGTTTATAAGAATAATGGACACGGTGATATACAAAACCGTGAAACAACAAAACACATACTTATCTAATTTCGATTTCTTACGAGTGACTTGAAACATTTTAATCTTGCATTACAATCCGCAGTCTGATGAACAGGCTGTGGATATGCATTTATGGCAAAAATGAGAGTAGACGTAGTTTAAAACAATAATCAGATTAAATGAAACTAAAAAAATGTCGATGTATTAATTTAAAGTTATTAAAAGTATTAAAGAGTCGAAAAATATTGTGCTTAGCTCCTGTGTTTTGTAATTGATGCATTTTTATTTTGTATAAAAATCTGCTGTCTGTTAATGATAATAAGTGAATACAATTATTTCTGTACGTGTGAATGTGTGGTATACAGCTTGAGTATGTTCAGTGGAGTATAAGACAACTATTATAGTATTCGGAATATCGAAGAGAAAATATTATGAATTATTCTGCAGCAAAAAATAGACAAAATACATTCTTGCACGTGCTCGGTGCGTATTAGTACAAGTTAAACGATGAACGTAATTCGTTAGCATTAGCAATATTTATAAGTGAAAAGAACCCGGTGAAATGTATCTCTCACTTTAGAAAGCTACCGGAACTTTTAACAACTGAGTCGTTTATTTTGAAAGTGGTATAAGTCACTTTGTTTTTAAGTCGATATATTTAAGGGTTTGCGTTTTAACACGTTTAAAAATATGGATGCTAACTTTTGAAAAGATTTACTTGTATTTGTTATCTCACAGAATACTGATATTTTTCTCAATATAAATAATTTCGTATAAATATTAAAAAAATCACCACTTTTCATTACGGTAAAGTGACTTATGCCACTTTCAAAATAAACGGCTCAACTCTGGTTTCGGCTGAAAATTCTAATGTAATTCTCATTTCATTTCAAACATCTTTATATTCAAATTGCATATAGTATTCATAATTTGTGTGCCAAAAGCTGATCTGATTGTAACTTCCTTTAATTGTACTAACAAATTTTATTTGGTTTTTTCAGACTGGCGTTACAGCTTTACAGAAGGCCGCCTCAGAAGGTCACTTAGAAGTAGTTGAACTATTACTGAAGTACAATGCAAGCGTCGCACGACAGGACACTGTGGTGAGTGAATATTAATTTCCATGTAAATTCATAGTTTCTTAGCTATTTAATACCATTTATCTGTGATATAATCGCGATCATTAATTTAGTTGTTGAATAATGCTTTAGAAACTTTTGTTAATGAGAAAATAAAAAGACAGCGTTGCATTTTACTGTAACAATTACTCGTGGGCTGGAAATGAATATGAAAGTACAATTAATTGACACAGTTTTCAGAAAGTAATTAATTTGCAAATTCGAACAAAAAGAAAATATGTGTAAGTGATGAAATTCACAATACGCGACTGAAACTGAATAAATTAATAGAGTATATTCGGCGTTCGGAAACGAACAAAAACATACAAATAAAATATGAAAGGAAGTATAGTTTATTACAATTTGTAACGACAAATAAAAAACATAAAACAATCAGAAACGTTGTTGAAATCATCCATGCCTGAACGCAAGCATGACGAAGTGCATGTCGGTGACTTCAACGCTTGGCGAACAATATAGCGGTGACTTCAATGCCCGGTGAAGCGCGACGATATGGCTGCAAATCCTTAGAATTATATTATATCGTAATTCAATAATTAATAGAATTATATATTAGTTATGCAACACCTTTAAAAATGTAAGAAAACAATCCAACAGTCGTATTAACAATGAAATCATTACCGATCGCTTCTTTCCTTATAAAATGAACATTAATTCTTACAAATTAAGTTTAATCATTTAGTAACGCATACATCTTTATGTTCATATATAACATATAAAACAAAGCAACTGCCGACGGAACACCCAAATAATGTTGCAAGATGACATTGGAGTAAATTTACATGAAGCTTGTTCTCTGCGTTTAAACTAATTCTTTCCGACAAGAGGCGTCAATTTTCAATTGAGAATTTCGAAAAAAAATATTGCTGGTTTATCATAAACGATGTTAAAAAGTTTATGTAATTAATACGGTCTAAAAGTTTAGTACTAAAAAATGTATAGTTTTGACAGATTAAAAAGTTCATAGAGTTTAATACAGTATAACATCCATAATATCATATTGCGTTTCTAATGCCAAAAAGTTAATATTTATTAAGTTATGTACTTAAGTTATTTTTTAGACCTGTTTGTGTAATATTAAATACATTGTTACGTGCTTCGCATTGCATACAGTATTAAATCTATTAATTATCATTTCTTTAGAATCTTCGTCAGTGCATATTTACCAAATCTATGCCACATATACTTTATATATATGTCTTGCATACAGTATTAAATCTATTAATTATCATTTCTTTAGAATCTTCGTCAGTGCATATTTACCAAATCTATGCCACATATACTTTATATATATGTCTTGCATACAGTATTAAATCTATTAATTATCATTTCTTTAGAATCTTCGTCAGTGCATATTCACCAAATCTATGCCACATATACTTTATATATATGTCTTGCATACAGTATTAAATCTATTAATTATCATTTCTTTAGAATCTTCGTCAGTGCATATTCACCAAATCTATGCCACATATACTTTATATNTGCAAATGATCTGCATATTCACTACGTGTCGTGAGTAAATAAACTTCCTCAGTCTATCGCCATGTATTCCATAATATAATGATTCCAGAAAATTAGCGAACTACCTATTATTTGTGTCATCACTGTTTCGATAATATCCGTGGCCGGTGATCGCTTTGGCCGCGATTACACCGAGCTACGGGGATGGTCGACGGTATAAAGAGAAGCGGCGTGTCGGATTCGGAAGGTTCGGCCGCGGAAAAACATAACTCGCACGTCAGAAACGCATAAACTCGTTTTTCTTCTCGGCCGCACGAGCAGCTTTACGCGGGAATATACTTATGTACATTGATACGCGTATCTTCGTAATAAGAGCCCGCAGCACGCAGCACGCGGTCCGCGGAAAGAGAAAGATAAAGAAAGGAAAAAACAAGGGGCCAGGGGGGGAACGGCAGGAGAAATCGCTACCAGGAATGAGCGAAGACGACGGCAATAATTTCACGTTCTTTTATAAGGAACAATTTACGAGAATTTTTGCGCGGTCCCATTGGCACCGGTCTTTTATCACTTTCTCGATGCCTGATCCCTCAGGGCTCGGATTTTACTCGCCTGGTATAACGCGCGCCTCGCGGTGTCCTGCGTCGCGTGGTTGTTAGCAGGAACACGACACTTGACATAAATTGGAGACCCCGGGAGAACGTTCGCTTGATAAACGCGATTATCGGCGGGAATGAGAGCAGCTATAAATGAACGGCGACGTGATAAATTAAGGTATCGAAGGATTTTACGGCTTTCTTGGGAAATTTCAATCAGTCGATGTTTGCTTCGTTTTCAGGCATTTTGAACGTCATACTCTTTCAGAGACAATAAGTAGTGACGGTGATTATTTCAGAGACATTGAAAAATCGAAATGAATATTATTTAAAAAGTAGGAAACAGATATGGTAGATAGGGAATAGAGAATAGAGAAAAAAATAGATCTATATAATAGAATAGAACGTAAAATAACAAATAGAAAATTATGAAATAGAAGATAGAATATTATAAAAGACATTAGAAAATTATAAAATAGAAAATAGGAAATTATAAGTAGAAAATTATAAAATAGAAAATAGGAAATTATAAGTAGAAAATTATAAAATAGAAAATAGGAAATTATAAGTAGAAAATAGAATAGTATAAAATAGAAAATAGAAAATTATAAACAGTCATTAAAATGATTACATAGTAAAGGCCAATTTGAAAGACAGGCTGACGCAAAAATTTCCAACGTAAATCCATTTGTAAATGGAATTATTTGTACACGTAAACTTCTGCTTGATTTTCGTAACCTAAAATTATTTTAAACTACAAAGTTTTGTGAAACATATTCCTAAATATCAGACATTTAGAATAATTTTCGATGAACTTTCTGAGGTAAACTGCACCCAGTGCGATTCATAAAAAGTGTACAAAATCTAAAAAGAAATTCATCTACACATCCAAACAGTTAAATGGACACTCATGGATGATCAACTTTCTGATCAATCATCTGATCAAATTATATCGAAATTGACGATGCATAAGGTAAATGTCCCAGCGCTTAAACGTTTAAGAAAGTAAGTTACACTGGTAATATTATAGTTTAACTGTCGTTGGTGCTTATTAACATTTATTTGAAAGGACAAATTTTTTTCCACTAAAAAAAGCGACAGAGCAAATAGGAATTAAATTGAATATATTGAATTAAATTGAATGTGTATTAAATTTAAATTTAATTGAAATTAAATTGAATTTATATATGTACATATAAGAACTAAAAATTTTTGGCTTTTATAGTTACGAAAATTATAGTTATAAAAAATTTCAAATACCTGTTTAAGCACTGGAACATTTACCTCGTACATGTAACCATTCGCTTCTGCATATGAGCCGTTTATTTTGAAAGTGGCATAAGTCACTTTACCGTAATGAAAAGTGGTGATTTTTTAATGTTTATACGAAATTATTTATACTGAGAAAAATATCAGTATCCTGAGATAACAAATACAAGTAAATCTTCTCGAAAGTTAGCATCCATATTTTTAAACGTGTTAAAACGCAAACCCTTAAATATATCGACTTAAAAACAAAGTGACTTATGCCACTTTCAAAATAAACGGCTCATATGTAGTTACAATTTCATCTATTCCATACGAATACCCTTTTTGCGAAGATTTCACCCTAAATAAATCGAAAACTTTACAAATTCGCGAAAGTGCAGTTTTCAACGTCGCAAAATCGGCTCCCACGGTGGCTGTCACTCAAAATTCGCCCATAAACTGCAATCACGCTCGTATTTCGAATGCAGCGCGATAATTGTAAAAGAACAGACTGTAGCCGCTTGTCCGACCGGCGCTCGGCATTGCGTCTCGTTAATATCATATGCAAATGGAATGCAAAGTCTCGGTTCGGCTGGTCTCGTATCGAATAAACGTTACACGAAACTGCACGGAACACATAGTTCCTCTTCCATCAGCAATTATCTTGTTCTGTACGAAGACGACGACGACGGCGGCGGCGGCGACGTCGTCGTCGTCAAGATCCAAAGGTCAGAGAGTATAATTCCGATCGATATCCTCGGTATCATTATATCGTAAAATATTTAATGGCTGTCATTACCGATATTGTATCACATTTACCCGGGTTCGCGTTAAGAAACACATTCGACGATCGCTCTCGGTCCCGCCGAGGACACTGTCCGCTTCGTTTTCAGCGGCAATTTCGCGAGCCGGACGCACACACGCGAAATAAACGACACGAAAATATCACGGTAGGCGTGGATGCCTTACGTCTTAATGAATGCCCGGCGAGTGATCTTCAGGTTCGCCGCGATCAGCCACGGAACACGGCCTGATGTTTTCTTAAATGGTATTTATAATATCGTCGGAAGACGTTACGCGGAATGACGAGTTTTCGGGGTGCAGACGAGGAGAACGTAATTCGATGTTACCGGTGTTCGCGTGGCGTGCAGAAAATGATCCCGAATTGAAATCGAATGTGAGATACGCATAACTTTATGAGTATGTAGCTATTTGCATTTTTCTACTCGCGAGCTCATGGATATTAATGGAGGTCTTATGTTCGTGTCGCGTCGGAACGACGCCTAACGACTCGCCTTTAATTAATAATCCCAACGAAATGGCTCAATCATCTCGCTCAAAGTGAATAAGTTCGTTCATGGACGAGATGTCGATGCCCAAAAGTTTTGAAGAAATTAACTTCGTTTATGGGAATGTTGCGTTCCAAGCGTATACACGGGTATACTTAATTCTTTAGAAAGATCCTCGACCAGAAATAAATATATATTACAAACAATTCTTTAACCCGAGAAAGATAACCTACGTCGCAGAGGCGCCTCCGAAGACTGTTGATTTTTGTTAATTTTTCATAGAGGTCTAGTGATTTAAGTTTAAAATTACTTAAAATATAAAAAAATATAATATAAATGCATTTTATTTTTACAATAATGCCAAACCTTT